TACTATATAAAATATATTTATTTTCAAATTTCATATGTGTTATACTATATAGAGGTTTTTTATGTTCCTATAGAGATAGGCCTAATCCCTATAAAATTTTTATAGTACGTTAAAAAAAATACAGGTAAATGCCTATAATTTTTTTATAGAATAAATATAGAAATTATATAGTTAGTTTTATTATAGAGAACTTGTCATATCGTTTGTATAGAATATTCTATAGAATTTCTGAATGTGCAAGATGTAAACATGTTGATTGGACTATACTGGTCAGACACGAATGTGTCAATAAATGAAATTGAATTGAATGAAACAAAAAAAAATTAAGATCATAGAAATTACATTAAATATGTGTATATAGAATGTTATAGAATTCTATAGAAACTAGTTCCTCTATAAAACAATTTTATAGAATATAATTTCTATAGAAATTGATTAATCTCTATAGAAGGTCTATATAGTTCTATAGATTTTTTCTGTAAGTGTACTTTCTAAGCCTTTGAAAAATCTAAATTGTCATATTTTTGGGAGATTTTCCCTGCTTCCCTATTCTGCTGAAATAATTAAAAAAAAATTATATTATGAAAGTCCTGGCAGTATAATTAACATTACATAGCCAAAGTCTAGGCCTATACTAAATCATGGTGTATAATAAAACATACAACTTTAAAACACAAGTTTAACCATTGAGGAAAAAAACAAGCTAACAATAACAGGTGTTGTCATTTAATCTGTTCAGCCAACCACAGATAATCTCAAATTACTTAATTTGATTGGTCACTTTATCCATGTTTATCACTGAAGGCCATGGAAATTAACAAAGGTGCTTTTGAATGTTATCAGTTAACTGAAATTTGTTAGTGGTTTTAGAGCTCTTTTTCAGTGCACATTTATGATGATGAAACAGGCAGTTTAACCGTATTTTCTGAAGTATTTCAGCAGTACTAATAGGTAAGAATTGTTTTTCTATTATTATTCATTTAATGTTGTTTAAATTGGCGCATTAGACTTAATATAATGCGCCTTTTAAGTCAAAACTTGGATTGGTTTGGATTAGATTGGATCTCTAGGCATAGGAGCCTAGCTAGGGGATAACAAGCATGCTATGACCTAGGCCTATTATTAAGAAAAGATAGAACTGAGGATATTCTAAGGAGGGCTAAGCTCAGTCTGCCCTATAATTTAAGTATTGGAGGGTGGTAAATTGGGCCGTGTTCTCACTTATTTATTATTGTAAAATCCATGATATGATTTTTTAAATAATTTTTAGGGGTAGGCCTAGGCCTTTATAGGCTAGGCCTATGCTACTGTTATTATTATCATTATTACCAAAACTCCCTCATATTTACAACAATTTTTGCATTGATCTGTTAAATGCTTCTATTTATGTGAACAAATTAAGATTTCTTTTGGTAATGTTGCAGAACAGAATAAACATTATTTTTTTTTTTCAATTTCCAATTCACGGCAGCAGGTGAGCTAACTGGTAAAAAATAAAATTTTATTTTTATTTTAAATCTTCATCTTCGTCGAACAGTGGGTTTGCAAAACAAAATATCAAAAAAGTATCGCTTAATCATTATATGTTGACTTCTTTCAGAATTTGTTGGTAAAGGATTTTTTTTTCTTTAAGTGAAAACTCATGAAATAAGAAGGTGTTAATGTTTGTTTAAAGCATTATTGCGGCAGTCGGAGAAAGGAAATTACCTGACTTTCAAAGGTGAATAATTTTTTTTTAATTTTCAGGTTTTTAACACTTTAAATATAGGAACTCACTAGTACTAATGGTGGATGTTATCAACTAATCAATAATGTGTATGTAAGGCCTACTCCATAATGGATATTAACATGTTGCACAATATTTTAATGTTTTTAAAACTAAAAAAAATGGATGAAACAACTAATTCACTAACTAATGATTAAGAAGTGTGCTAGTCTCTTATTTCAGCTACCGCATATCATACTCTTATTTTAATACATTCATGTCGAAGGAAAATACAACATTTAAAATGTGGGTAGAAAATTTTAAGATACATTTTCAATAAACGGCAAAATCTGCTTAATTATTATGATTTAAAATTTTAAAATCATTAGAGCATTATTCATATTCCAACTGACAGTTCTTGTTTATTTTGCCCTGCCCCTCAATTTGTATTTTGACCTAGTGTATGTATTTTTATGATTTTTCATGACTCACTTTTTTTTTTCAAAAAAAGGGTTTCAAAATGCACAGGACAACTGCATGTATCACTTTGCTCTGATTTAAAGAATTGTTTTGTTATGTCTTTCAGCATGTGAAGCAAGGGTGAAAATCTGAAGCCATCATGATTCAATATTTCAAAACTAGTTTGGTCACTCTGCAGAATTCACAACGGCATCTTTCAGCAAGATTTCCAATTTGCTTAGCTACCATTGGACAAGAAAAAGCACGGATATAGACAGCTCATACAGAAAATTGCTGGTTTATACACAACTGTAACGCGACAGATTTTTGAACAGGGTTTTGTATAGTAAACTCTAGTTGAGGCTTTAAATTACAGAAAAAAAAAATCTGATTTGAAGACTGTAAAGCATTTAGGTAACGCTGGAATTTGAAGTATGTGCATCAGTAAGGCTTAAGACGAACAATATTATGTGAAGGGGTATGCAAGTTATCGAGACCCTAGGGATTAATATCCCTACCCCATGATGCATACAGTAGTTGATGTTTTTAATTAAAGAAATCATGGTTTGTATATCTTGAACTCAGTGTATTTTGTATGTCTGCAGGAGTTGTTTAAGCCATTATTATTTTTCCATCCAGTAGCCACTCCAGCTCGAAATCAAATGCATCAATCATTCAATACTGCTTGTGCATGCAAACAATATTGTGGCAGTGGAACCAATGGCTGTCAACAACCAGCTAACCCATCAATAACAATTTACTAAGCAACCATTGCTTGCATTAACATTAACAAACAGTATATATTTACAAAAATAAGAAATTTATATGAATATGTTATAAATCATTATAGCTTTCTTATAAGAATAACAACTAAAGCATTCACAGAGGATTCCTGCAAGACACCTATACGATTCCTTTAGGAAATCTATAGGATAATAAAGTAATACTTATAGGATTCCTATATAATTCTTATAAGACACCCATACGAATCCTATGGAAACCATATAGGATTCTTGTACGATATCTATAGGGACCCTGTATTATTCATATAAGACTTCTATAAGATTCCTTTAGGAAATCTATAGGACTTCCTTAAGATATCTTTAGAATTACTAAAAGAGTTCTATAGGATTCTTATAAGACGCATATATGATCCCAGAAAGAAATCTGTAAAATTCCTATAAAATATCTATAAGATTCCTAAAAATATCTACAGGATTCCTATATAATTCATATAAGACTCCTATAAGATTTCTATAAAGGTATCTATAACCTTCCTATATCATTCATATAAGACTCCTATAAGATTCCAATAAGATATCTATAAGATTCCTATAGATTTCATATAGAAACCCATAGGATTCCTATAAGATACCTATACAGTATAATTCATATAAGATTCCTATAAAGTTCCTTTAGAAAATCTATAGGATTCCTATAGGATAACTATAAGATTCCTATTTGTTTCATTTAA